GCCCCTCTATTTTACTTCTTTTTAAGGTTATTTTTTCCCCACTATTAGTAATACATTTAAACAGCACATCAGATAATGTCATTGTTTCTTATTTTAACTTATTCAAAGATAACTGAGGAAATACCGTACAAGAAGAAAACCCTATTCTTTCCTAGTATTCTAAAATTCCATTTATTTTTTTCAAGAATTTCCTTTAGCCATTTTAGGACAGGGCTGTTGGTGACATTTTGCTTAGTTTTTCTTCATCTGACATATGTCTTAACTTTCTTTTTCATTTGTGAATGATGTTGTCTCTGGATATAGGATTCTTGGTTGATAGTTCTTTTATTTTACTTTACCACTTGAAGAATGTGCTGTGTCCTCTGGTACCACGACTCCTGAGGATAAATACCATCAAACTGTTTTCCTCTTTTGTATAAGATCTTACTCTTTTCTCACTGCTTTTGAGATTTTTTCTGCCATTAGTTTTCAGAAACGTGGTTGTGATTACATGTCCTTGCACTGAGTTGGGGAATTTTGTGTTTGAGATTTCCTCAGCTTCTTGCATCTCTAGGTCTATGTCTTTTGCCAAATATGGAGAGTTTTCAGCTAATTATTCCTTGGAATTCCTTTTCAGTCCTACCCTGTTTCTCTTCTCCTTCTATGAATCCGATGGTATGAATGGTGTTTGTTTTAGCCCCACAAGTCCAGCATATGCCCTATCTGGGCAAGGTGAAGCTCATTTTTTTCTTTCTTGTTCATATTGGCTAATTTCTATTTATTGTTTTATCTTCAAATTCACTGACTGTTTCTGCTTTTCTCACCATTCACATTTGATCTTAGGCAAAAGGCCAAGAAGCACTTCACCACCACTCACCTATTGAGCCCATCCATTGCATTTGGTTATAGCATTTTTCAGTTCTAATATTTTTTCTTTCATTCTTCATATACTCTATTTCTTTGCTGATACTTTTTCTTTCCTGATAGTTTCTATTTTCTTCATTTGTCCCGAGCATACTTAGTAATTCCTCATCGAAGCATTTTTGTGGTGACTTCATTAAAATCCTTGTTGGATAGTTACAAATACCCGTGTTCCTTCAGAGCTGCTGTTTGCTGATTTTACACTCAATTTGAGATTATCTTGGTTCTTGGCATAATGAGAGGTGTGTTTCTATTTTTTTTTTTTTTGCTTGTTTAATGTTTTATTAGATCAAAAGACAAAATTGCAGCAAATTTAAAGTTTTATGTTTGTTTGTTTAGCTAGAGTTTATGTATTTCATGTTGGCCTTGGACTCTATCCTCCTGCTTAAGCCTCTTGAATGCTGGGTTTAGCAGGTAAAGATCTTAATTGGCTTCTCCTTGCCATTCTAGAATTTGGTTTCACCTCTGTCTTAGTAACTTTCTAATTGCTGGGACAAAATACCTGACCCCACAAGCTAGAGGAGGAAGGCTTTATTTTAGCTCACAAGTTGTAGAGATTTAGGTCCACAGTCATCAGGCTTCAAGGCAGGGCAGCATGGCAGAGAGACACGGCAGGAGAGACACAGTCCATGGCATGGTAAGCAGAAAGCAGAGCCACTTCCTTCTTCTTTCCCTTTTTATTCCATCCAGGCTATAAACCCATTGGTCAGTGCTATCCACACTCAAGTAGGTGGGTTCTTCCCTCTTTAGTAAATCCATCATTCACATACAGAGCTCTGGTGCTTTCAGGCTATGTCATCCCAAGCCAAACCTTCTGAGCCTCTGTTTCTTGTTTAAAAGGTGTGTGTTTTAAAGGATTTGTAGGGGCTGGAGGGTTGGCTCAGTGGAATAAGTGCTTCCCTGGTGAGCGTGAGGGCCTGAGTTCAATCCCTGGTTCTGCTTCTTCTCTGCTAGCCGCCTGGCAGCCTCTTCATCTGGCTCTCACTTCTTGCTTTAGTTAGGTGTCCCCTTCCTCAGGCTCTGCTGGACACTCCATGATTGGCTGTCACAGTCGGTTCCCCCCATGGGTGTTCTCGCTTGCTGAAGGGCAGGCTTCCCCTTAATGTGCTACTGGAGGTTTCAGTTAATATTCATCTGGGTCCAAGGCAGAGTGGCACATAGCAGGAACCAACTTTTCATGGCTGTGGCAAAGAGCAAGAGCCAGTGTTTCTATTTTTAGTCTAGATATTCTGATTTATTTTCTTAGGCTATAGATAGTATTATTTGAATATCTATCTGAGCAAACGTGGCAGGATACTGCACCAGTGAGAAGCTGGGGCACCACTTTGTTGCTGTCAGGACAGAGGTAGAAACCCCCATTCTCCATTTGGGCTGCCTTGACTACACGAGGTATGTGCTTTCTTACCTACTGGACTGGGGTGAGAGTTCTTGCTTCCCACCAGAGAGCCACCAATTCATTCTGGCTGGAAGAGACGAGTCTCCTGGCTACTATTCTCCATCCACCCATCCTGCAGAGAGCAAGCGAGAGTGCCTCAGCAGTGTTTCACAGGCACCTCGTTATTACCACCACAGGGTCTCTGTAACACTTTGCTACTTATTTTTGTTTTGCTACTTTTTTTTGTTTTGTTACTTATTTTTGTTTTGTTACTTATTTTGTTTATGAAAATATCATTACTGCCGAGAGGAGATAAACATCCAAGCTGACACTCCTCAAGGGGGGGATAGAGAATTGCCCTATCGTGTAGGGCTGGACATGCATGAGCAGCCCATTTTCCTTCTCCTATTGGGTGTGGAGTTCAGGCGACCACTTATTTTGTGCTGTTTAGCTAGAGAAGACCTATTATCATTTGGAAACTTTCTATCTTGTGAGACTTCCCCTTTTAAAGTCTTTTCACTATAGAAAGGAGGGCTTTCTCTGTGCTTGGTTTTATTTTCTCTTGTTGACATTTGGGTTTCTGGCTATGCCATCATCCAGCCTAACCCTGTAAGACAAGAGGAGAATCCATGGTCTGACTTCT